GAACCAATTTCTGCCTTAAATACAGCACCAATATGACTTCACAGAGCAACTTTAGATGCTAATCTGATGTAGAATAACCCAACCATCTACACATACACACAATTTTTAAGGCAACAACTGATTTTCCTTCCTCCTCTCCTGCTTTAAGCTGCACTACAACTGCAAGCTTTATAGGATAGAATTATTCTGGAGGCATTAGTAGTAAAATCAAGCCGTCCACGAGATATGTGGGCAAGTAAATGCCAGAGGTAGTTAAGCTTAAAAATAAAGCAAACTGAAGAAACACCTTTGTTATACAGACTTAAAAGAAAGTGCATAAAAGAAAGCAGTACTTAAAAAACAGAGTTGGGCAGAAGAAAAGAAGCTGAGGAGCTGGTATATATCAGCACTGCCATTCAGGTCTGCACCTAAGTAAATAACTACTGTGTTCCTCATCTCACGCTCTCAGCTGCACCTCCCTGCTCTAATCAATGCTTTTAAAAAGATTTTACAGAAATTACTGTTGTCCATTTAATCCGGTGACCATCCAATAATTTAACAAAGAAAGGCTTTGAACTACAAATGAGTGGTGGGACTGAGATGCTGCTGTGTGCACTGCAGGGATTGTTTCCATCAGTCCCGTTGCCTCAAAATGAAAGACTTGGGAAACAAATATTTCTATTCCTTTCCAAATAGAATGACCAATAGATTGTTTTCCTGCTTGGAGCTTCTAAATCTTTCTTTGTATGTATGGACTTTTTCTGTCTGAGGAGCTTTATCTGGTTTCCTTTCCGGGTCACACATCACCACTGCTTTCAAAGCCTCTCTTCGCATACACAAAGCTCATGCTCCTACCACGTCCCCTTTTCTGCAGCATCAGATGGTGCGAGTCTTCTGTTTTGGGTGGCAACTTGTGTTGTTTCTAGCTGATGTAATTTATAAAGAAGGTGTGGAATTGCTCCTTCTCTTCCTTTTGAAGAGTGCTCCGTCCTTCTGCTGGACATAACCAGCTATGGAACTTCTGCACCGTGTACAACACTGCCTTGGTGACAGCCATTAAATTCTTCCAGTAGAGCTTTTCTCTTTCTCACTTCCTTTTCTTTACACACAAATTAAAAAAATCCTGAAGAACATTTGTTTAAAACTGTTCCAGACTCTCAAATGTGTCTCTAAACACAAATCTAAACTTTTCCCAGAGAGCTTTTAACGTGTCACTGCTGGTACAACATTCTGGTATTGCCACATCTTGTAAAATTCCATCTAGAATTGCACAGTTTCGTCAGGACTGGCTGATTTCTGCTTTAATTTTCACTTACCTCCAAATCTACGTAAAATAGTGCAAGTTAGTGCCGTCAGCCTGGTGCAATTTGCAGTGAGTAGCTGAAGTGATGAAGCCGCTGGCAGCTTGCAGCATGACTGGCTTTTTGAGAGTGAAGGAAGCCTGCTTGTATTCCCACAAAGAAATCCAACTTCCCTACTTTTGAAGCACTCAGTCCCTTTAATTACAATTTCTGCAAAGGAAGTGTTTTACCTGTGCCTAGAACCAACCAGCAGAGGTTGCCATTGATTTTTCCTGTTACCTACTCAGCAGAGCCTGGATTTCTTGTACCAGAGCTGAAATATTTGGCTGCCACGAGGGCTTGTTGTCAGAGTTGGGCACTCTAGGCACACACAGCGGGCACCAGCTGGGGCTGACCTGGGAACAAGGTGACTCAGTGGTCACTGTGACATCTGGGAGCTTTAGTAGTTCCCAGTCCTCAAATCTGGATGGAGCAGGATGCACTGAGCATCCTGTGGTCCACTTTATGTCACGCTTTACCTTTGCTTAGCTGATGTGCCCTTGTGCCTTTGGGGCTTTCTAATGTCCATTTTAAGGTGTTCTGGCCCTTTATGTCCGTGGTGCCAACGAGCCAGCCCAGGGAGGGGGTGGAGAAGTCCGGGTTCCTGCCATGCCTGTGCTCACCGTTGTTGTTCTCCTCCTCCCTCACAAGAGTGAAAAGAGGAGGAATAAAAATTGCTCCCTGTTATTCTGCCCATGGTATGGATAGCTCGGGCTTAACGCTGTGCTCAGGGGCTAAATTTAGTCATTAAATCTATTGTTTCAGCCATTTGCCATTGTGAGGTATCAGAGCAAGTTTAATATTTATTAAATCCTCCGATGGAAGACTTTGGAATGATCACACGCCCTTACTGCAAACCACTCTTACATTGCTGCAGTTTGTGCTGCCTCACATTGCTACAGACTTGTCATTCAGCTTTGAATATTCGCTCCAGGCAGTACTCGAAATACAAGATGTTAACCCAGGAGCAGCTTATTAAAATTTTGCCTGTGGTTTGCCTGGGAACTGAAAGGATTTAAATCATTGTAGTTTCTAATGACTTAGTTGGTTAAAGCCTCCGGTACCATCCCTGACCCATCTTTTGCTGATCGATAGCCCAAAATGCTGTTCTGTGGTTGGTATTTTGGTACCTAAAGCTGCTGTTTCAGTGTCTAAGGACGCACGGCGTGGCTGTGTGAGGTAACTTTGATGGTTGTACTCCTGTGACTGGGTTTATTTTTGGAAAGCACGAAGTAAACAGAAGTTCTGAGTCCTTAATCAGGGAATAGCAGCATCCGTTTGCAGGAGTAGAGAGCTCAGTTAATTGGGTTAAGTTTGGAAAGTAATGTGCTACTCACAAGTATTTGTATTTAAACTGATGTTGAAGCAATTAGAGATTGGTACAGTATTGAAACCAGGAGCAGATGAGTTTTATAATCTATATATTGAGGATGGAAGTAATTAATTAGGGGAAGTAATTAAAAAGGGGGGAGGGGCTGTAACTGTCTTTTAAGCAAGACTAGAAAATTTGTGTCAAACCAGGGCAGGTATTTCGCCAAGCAAAATTGTAACACCTTTGCCGAGGTATTAAACCTCCGCAGGTGACGCCTGAAAAGCGCCCCCGTGGCTCCCGGAGCGGAGCCCCTCGGCTGCCCCGGCTCGGTGCGGCGGGCTCCGCTCCGCTCCCTCCTCCCCGCCGCCCTTCCCGGTGCCAGCGGCGGCGCCATTGGATGTACCGGGAGCAGGGGAGCGGCGGGCACCGCTCCAGCGCCGGCGGGCTGCGGCGGCGGGAGGAGGAGCAGGAGCCGGGAGCGGGCTCAGGTGCAGGCACCGCTCGCTCGGGGGAAGCAGCGCCAGCCGCTCCAGCCGCACCGCGCTGACAGAACTCCCCGGCAGAGGATGCGTGTAGGTGAGAAAGCTTCTCTATTGCTTTAGCGGGGAATTAGAGGAAGGAGTGATTTTTTTTTTTTTTTGTATCGTTGCATTGTAGACAAAGGGAGCGAATAGCCGGAAATATTCTGGGATGTTATAAAACCTAAAAGGACTTTACAGCGTGGTGATACAAAACAGGAAATGAACTCCAAAAAGAACGCTTTCTCTCAAAGTACTGCGACAGAATTGAACATTGAGCTCTTCTGGTGTCTGAAATTCCTCCCGAAGACACGGCAAGGACTATTAAAATCATCCGAGAGATCCTGGTACTTTTAAAGAGACTTAAAGCAAATGCCAGCGTAATATCTGAATGACCTTGGAGATTATTTCATGTGGATTCATTAATTTTCACTGCCAGTCTTCTAGTCTCAGGAACTCTAGGATTAAAGATGGTTTTAACGTTTTAGGGGCCTTTCGAAAAACAAGATTGTATAGATTTAAGTACCTGCCTAATGGTTCCTGAACTAATCAAGCATTTACTTAGAACTGAACACAGAAGATCCTTTCTTTTAACATTTTCTCTCTTCATAACTTTGACTAAAATGAACAAGGTAATGTCCTGCAATTAGAAGAGCATTTCTTTTAAAGCAATTATTTATTATGCTGATCATCTAATAATTACAGAAACCCTAAACCCCTGAGAAGATGAACCTGAATAACAGAATAATGGAGTAGTAAACAATGGCAGCTTTTCTAGTCAAATCAGCATTTCATTAGCTTCCCAGCAGAATGCAGATGGAAGTTTCTGAGCTCCTTGTGTGGGGGTTTGTGAAATGATTCAGGTGTTGCTACAGAGGTGAGCAATATCATGGCTATACCTATGAAATCCCGGGTACTGATCTGCTGTAGCAGATATGGTAGAGTTTCCAAAGATGGTTATTTTAAATTGGCGTGGCTGAAATTAAATTCAAGAGGATTTATTTTGTCTCTGGGGACATTGAATTATGGGTCTCACATTAATAATTGTAATGGACTATAACTGTTTGAAGGAACTGTGAATATTGACATAAGTCTCCAAATTCTATTCTTAAATTATTTTCATTTTCAAGTGAATAGACACAATCTTCCTCATTGTATGTTAGATGTATGTTTTCTTTCTTAGGAGTCAGAGGACAAGTCTGCCTCATCCCCCACCCATCTCCCTCCAAATAAAATTCATTATTAATACCCAAACAGTGGTGAGTCTATTGGAATTAACCTTGACAAAAATGTTTTCCTTACCTTTCCAATGAATAGCACGGATAAGATGGAATACCATCTCCTGAATGGAACCAGGAAAGACAACATTAGAGGATGAACTTTTTCCTTTAGTTTTCAGTCAGTCTGTGATTTAAACTGAGACATTATAAAGATTATCTCCAGTAACTGCTGGTCCAGGAAACCTGAGCTGTACTGAGGTTCCTCCTTCCCTTCCTCCCCCTCTCGCCAGTATATTCCAAAGCAAAGGACTTTCTCAGGAAAATAAGCAGTCAGAGATTTCCCTCCCCTCCTTCCCTGGGAAATGAATGTGTCCCTTTTGTCAGTTTTTATTTCTGTATTTCTGGGTACCTGCTTGTTTTAGAAGTGCCTTGTGTTTGCTAAAGATGGGTCAAGAGCACTGGAGGAGCTGATCAGTGGCCTTTCTCTTTCTGGCTTTTGTTTTTCTTTTCTTTCTTTCTTTCTTTCCTTAAAGCCAAGGTGTGCCAGAGGTGATGCACTGATGCTGAGGAGGCATCAACAGCTATGGGACTGTAATCCCCTCCCATGTAAGCACTGGCAGTGTCTGCAAAGAGAGATCTGGAGTCGCTGGAGCAGAGTTTAGCTGCTGTTCAGCAGGTCACCTGCTCACTCAGGCTCAGATTGCAGTGTTCCCTAAGCACAAAGCATGAACCAGTCCCGATGGATTGAATGGAGGACTCTGAATATGAGCAGTAGTGTTATGAACATATCTGAGCACCTCTCCTGCCCTCTTGGATTTGGTCACTACAATGCAGTTGACGTCTGTATCCTTGAGACAGTCGTTATTGTCTTGCTCACATTTTTAATCATTGCGGGTAACTTAACTGTGATATTTGTTTTCCACTGTGCTCCACTCCTGCATCATTACACCACCAGCTATTTTATTCAGACCATGGCCTATGCTGATCTTTTTGTTGGAGTCAGCTGCTTGGTTCCTACTCTGTCACTGCTCCACTACCCGACAGGTGTCCACGAGTCCCTGACTTGTCAAGTTTTTGGATATATCATCTCTGTGCTCAAAAGCGTGTCTATGGCATGTCTGGCTTGCATCAGTGTGGATCGCTATCTCGCTATAACAAAGCCTCTCTCCTATAACCAACTGGTCACCCCTTGTCGCTTGAGAATCTGCATTAGTTTGATCTGGATATACTCTTGCCTGATCTTCTTGCCTTCCTTTTTTGGTTGGGGAAAACCTGGTTACCATGGAGATATTTTTGAATGGTGTGCTACCTCCTGGCTAACTAACGCCTATTTCACTGGCTTTATCGTGTGCTTACTCTACGCTCCTGCTGCCTTTGTCATCTGCTTCACCTACTTCCACATCTTTAAGATCTGCCGGCAGCACACCAAAGAGATAAACGATCGGAGAGCTCGCTTTCCGAGCCACGAAGTGGATGCTGCTGGGGACACCGGGCACAGCCCCGACCGCCGCTATGCCATGGTTTTGTTTCGGATAACCAGCGTGTTCTACGTGCTGTGGCTCCCCTATATCATATACTTCCTGCTGGAGAGCTCGAGGGTGTTGGAGAACCCCGCACTCTCCTTCCTGACTACATGGCTTGCTATAAGCAATAGTTTCTGCAACTGTGTGATTTATAGCCTCTCCAACAGCGTTTTCAGGCTGGGACTGCGGAGACTGTCGGAGACCATATGTTCATCTTGCACGTGTTTGAAAGACAGGGATGTGCGGGACCCTAAGCCGAGGAAACGGGCTAACTCCTGCTCCATTTAGAGACAATGGGCGCGTGTAATCAAATGCGGAGTTTCAGTAGTATCTGCTGTGTCTGGAAACTGGCCAGAGAGAAATGTTTACTTGAACAGCTTGCCGTGGTGTTAGAGGGAGTTTACAAGGGATTGTGGAAAAGGAAAAGGCTGCTGTGAGAGGGGTCACTGGACTCTGGGGGAATTGTGAGGAGAGCAGTTCCACAGAGACGATGAAGAAAGTCAGGACTAAAAACCTTCCAAAGGGCATGAAGTAACTACCAGTAACTATCAGAGGAGGTTCCTCGTAAAATAAATAACTTAGTTACTACCTTATGTTTTACCCCTTGTAGACAAGCTGTCCTACTATCTTTGTGTCAGAATATACTGTAGCCTTCTGAATCTCAATATATTTAAGAGGAAGCAATCAACATCACAGTAAGCAGCTATCCATAAACTATATACCTGAGGACTGTAGTAGATACTGCAGGTTAATAATCAGCTCTGTCTCTGCTCACATCCTGTACAATTTTCAGTTGTACAATGCATAAACCCTGCCCTGGGCATGATGCTTTGGGATTAACTGGCAGGTTTTGGTACCACTGTCAGAGGAGCTCTCCCTCTCCTTCTCATTTCCTCTCTTTTCCTCCATGCTCTGCATCCCTAGATTCCATTGCGTTCAGGGGGAGTTTAGTTCGAGGGCACCTACGAGGTAAACTGAGTTTCAGACCATTATTCCTGCAGAAAGCATAAGCCCTTCCTGGCTGGCTGGCTGACTGCAGCTGCCTGTGTCCAAGGACTCCTTCAGTCGATCCCGTTAAATCAGCACACGGTATCCATGTGGTGTCCTTTAGGGTGTACTAAAGCTTTTCCTTATTGACTCCACAGACACTCCTAATGCAGAGATGATAATGGCACATAGCAGTGTGTCAGCACTGCTTGGAGAATTCAAACTAACCAGCCCTTCTCTTTGGGAAGTCTAAATTGCTCGCTGTTGTAGCTGTCAGTCCATCGTGTGAACCTCGCTTGCACATACTGTACTTTTTTTATTTTTTTTTAAGGGAAAACGTAAATTGTGGTCTGTGCCTAATGTTTTCCTAGCACATGGAATAGGTCAATGCTACAGGGTTAAAAAAAACTTACACTTGCTTTAAGAGAAACACTTCTGTGCCATTGTTGAATAGCTGTTTGTTAGACAAGTGTTCTCAGAGGAGGTGAACAAGACAGTTTAGTGTTAATTACAGGTCAAGAGCTTCGGTATTTCCTTTTGTACTGAACTGACTTTCAGGTCCACTGATGAAATCTTTCTGATTTTGCAAGGGCGCACATTAGGTTTGTGTAATAAGTTGCCAGGGGTTCAGATGCATGCCAGTCGATACAATATTTAAATTATGATTTTGAGCCAAATGTAATTTTCTTGGATGGTTATTGGCTTTTAAAAAGGGCCCAATTATTGATTATTGGTGCCTTTTAACACTGCACTATTTTTCCTTCTTTCACCAAAATGCATATGTAAAGATTGTGCCTATTACTTTTTGTAATGGAAGCTGACCACCTGTGCACACTTGTGGTTTGACTCTAGAGCTCCCTTAATTCTGTACTCTTTGTTCTGTTGAGGTGGTTCTGAACCCCTGTACATTTTTTTAAAACCTGTAAGAAAGTTGAAACAATGGAATAAAGTAGTATTATGTCTATCAAACCCAGCCTTGGCGTTAGTTCCCTGATGTCACCCTCTGTTCTCTGAGAAAATTCTTTTGGGTGAAGGATTTCAAATTCAGACCTCAAAGCTGCTCACCTGTCTAAAACTGCTGTCTAAAACGTTCAGATACCAGTTTCTGGCATTGCACAGTTTTCAAAGCAGGTTCAAACATGACTTCAGACGTTCCTCGAGCTGAGCCGAGCTGTTGCTGACAAGCAGCTCTCGTAGGTATTAGGGAAAAATAAGTCCTGTCCTTCGCATGGATCTGGTAATGCTCCATGTCTGCAGGAACGTGTCTGCTGCCTTCTTGTGACAAGTTGCTGTTTATTTCAGAAGGCTCTTTTTGGCTGACTGCTGCTCTGTAAGGTTGTGTAACCCCGGCTGTTCTTACAAATACAGCTTGGGTTCACTTCGCTTTGTCATTAGTGTGTCATTGTGTCCTGCTCAGTAGGCCCTCGGTGTGCAGGGCTCAGGTGAGGAGCAGTGAAATACCTCATTTCTCACTGTTCCCAGGACTGCTTTCGTACCAGTAAAGTCATTTCATACCTGTGCTCCGGCGCTGGCCGCTTATTGCTTCTGCTTTTCGTTGGCACTTTGGGGGACAAGTTTCGGTGGGACCTTCTGAAATTCAGGAGGTCTAGGAAGTGCCTGAAGTTGAATTAACACTTAGTGAAGCCAGGCTGGGGGCACCAGCTGCGTGGTGAGCGTGGTACTGTAACTGCAGACGTGCAGGAGCACCTGAGGTAACTCAGCTGTGGCCGTGCCTTAGTTGAACCCTGTCGGTGTGACCTCAGCAGTGCAGTTGATTTTCAAGCTTTATTGCCTGAAAATGGGAGGTCAGAGAGAGGGTTTGGCCTCCGGGACTGCAGCACGAGGTTTACTCACCCTGGAGGGCAGAGCTAGTAATACATTCATTCCTCTCTACCGTGTGGAGTTGTCAAGTGGAACTGGAGATTTCCTTTTCCCTCAGGCTGCTCTTGGAGGCAGAGAGTATACTAGAAATCCAATACCCTGCAAAGAACTTGTAGGTTCCAAGGTTCTTCACCCCCTTTTTTCATTTTTTTTTGTTGAATATTGTTGCTGCAAGAACATTAATTCACTTACCTGGACGCTGAATTTCAGCTGCTGTAAAATCACATTTCAAACTGTTCTCTATAAATCTCCTGGCATCTGTCAAATTATACATCCTCAGCAGACTTAAATATTGCTTTTCTTCTTGCTGTTTCCCAGGTGACAGGATTTGACCTGGTGCCTGGTTGCATGAATCTTTTAAATTTAGTAAGTGTGTTTCATTTTTTGGAAGTGTTTTCTGAACTCATGATTTAAAATTTTTACTTGAGGGAGGTTTATTATTATTTTACTAATGCTGTCTGGGGGTTCCAGCTGGTGCTAAATTCTCTTCCAAAATCATAAGGCTGGACGTTTTAGTGGATTAAAGGAGTCACAGAAATTCCAGTCCCCCGATCTGTCATTTTTTATTTACATTCTGTCATTATATGAAGTCTCATGTTTTTGTACAGAAATCTGATTAAAGAATGAGACTTTTAAAGCTGGCATTTGGAGTACACATCCCACTTTCATGTGCCTGAAGATCTTTTTGATTTGTGAAATACCTGGTAAATAGGTGAGCAGAGACTAACTAAAGAAGTTGAGAGGAAAAATGTGTTGTTGATAACAGAGGTGATAAAAAGTAGCCATAAGAAGAAAACATACGTAAAATATTAAATGAAAAAATGAAGAGATAGACCTAATAGATAAGTCAAATAAATATATGTCCAAAACCCTCCTTTTTGCAGGTAGTTTATATTGTGCTCTTGCATTTCTCTTGAATACTTCTGTTGGCAGTGCCCCAGAGGCAATGTCAAGGGTGATTGCCTCACCATTTTTGGAACCTCATGTCTATCAGCCTCAGGAAAAGTCCTAAAAATTGTGTGATGGCAGCAAAAGCACTGCCACAAAAGTAATCTTTCCTTTACCAAATTTGATGTGCTTCCTTATTTTCTGGAATGGCTAAGAGATTTTCTCCTTAAAATACTATTCTTTAAAGAGAAGAGGAATTGTAGTGATGAAAAGCACGTTGATGTCTTTTAAAAGTTTAATTATTGTCCTAAAGTAAGATATTTTTCCCCTCGCTTTTGCTTAAGAATCCATTTTGTAGCTGTACTTGGTCAAGCACGAGATATTGTGCAAGGTTTATTTTTGTACTTCCCCCGCTGAAAAGTTGAGAAAAGTTACTTTACTGAGCCTCCTTTCACAGGTACAGTTTAGGAAGACCTTTTAGAATTCTTGGTTTTGTGATTAATTTAAATTCATTAGTGTTTGCCGGTGGAATATCCATAAGCACACTTAGTTTTTGCACTCAGCAAAAGTAGTAAAATGTCCTTTTTTGGGTAAATGACCCCAGGAGTCGATATTCCAGTTGACATGGAATGAGGAGTTCCGTCATTATCGATCTCATCGCGGTGTGGAAGTGCTTTCTCTTCCCGTGTGACAGTTGGAGCTAAACTTGTAAATACACTGAGGTTTTATTTTTTAAAGCTGGCGTCGGACTGCTGAGGATCTGTAAGTCCCCAAACTGCTGGGAATATCCCTTTAACAGCTCCCCAGCTCTGTTGCAGCGTCCCTGGAACACGATGGTCCTGGAGCTGAGTTTGCCAGGGAGCAGTGCCAGAGGTTCAGCAGGCCAGTGTTGCCGCGGGGGAGGAGTGTCAGTGAAGGTGGCAGTGGTCTCCCCAGCCATCCAGCAGGATCAGCTAATTTGCAGATCTTTCAATTTTATTGTCGTTGTCACCAAAAGGAGAAGTTCAGGTCTTTGACTTAATCCCTGCCACCTGTTCCCTCTGACTCCTTTTTTTTTTTATGGATGCAGTAGTGCCTCGTTCTGCTGAAGAACTGAATTAGATCGATTTGGTTGGGCTTTTTTGATTGAGATACTTCATGTATGTCATGTGAATGGCCAAAACAAAGGCGAATTTGTTAACAAGATGCCGATGAATTTCTACGCCTTTCCAGAAATGGCAGCATCACTGAGGTAGTTTTCCTGTCACCTGCAGCATTGCCTGGAACATTGCTTAAAGATTTTTGCTAACCAAATAGAGTTCAAGTAATGCCTGATTTTCCCCCCCTGTTTTACATAGACATGTTTAAATTTTTTTTAAGTTATGTACTGAATTTATATACACAGGTCTCTGCAGTCATTTTTCATTTGTCAACAGAAGTCTTTGCCGTTACAGCTGATGGGGTAAAAGTGATGTAGAAGGGTATTTAAGAGGAGCTTCCTTCTTGCGGACACTGATCTACTCTCTGGTGACCAGGGACAGCACCCAGGGAATGGTTGGAGCTGTGTCAGGGCAGGGTCAGGTTGGATCTCCGGAAAAGGTTCTTCCCCCAGAGGGTGGTGGGCACTGCCCAGGCTCCCCAGGGCAGTGGGCACAGCCCCAAGGCTGCCAGAGCTCCAGGAGGGTTTGGATGATCCTCTGGGGCACCGGGTGTGACTTTTGGGAATGGTCCTGTGCAGGGCTGAGGGTTGGACTGGAGGATCCTTGTGGGCCCCTTCTGACTCGGCATGTTCAGCGATTTTTCCAATCATTCTACAGTGCAATGATTCCTTTCCCAATCTAATATTAGGACAATCCTCTGGGCTCCGTGAGCTGTAAGTGCTGAAGGAGTGGGATGTGAATGGAGAGGAAGCCGTTAATGGCTCCTTGCCCCAGCACAGCCCCAAGAAAATACTGAAAACCCCTCACTTCTGCATCCATAGTTTTTGTGACCTCTTCTTTGTGCAAGGACTGTGAAAGGTAGGATGAATGTAAGGAAACTTTAATGCTTTCAGCTGCTCTGACAAGTGGCTAAGAAAAGTGATTTCAAGCAGTAAAATCTTTGGGATTTTATCCCAGCCTTATGCTGAGTGCTGCCAGGCTTAAACCTTTGGAGCAGGATGTGACAGCAGTGCTGAAGGATTTTCATTTTAACCACTGTGAGATCGGTCTGGACAAAGAAGAGGTGATTGGGTGCAAAAATGAAACTTCTGTAAGTGCAGTGATTACCAGGGAAAAGAGTTTTGCTTTTCCTGAGTGATGTTTATCTTTCCTCAAAGCCCACAGTCTAAAGTTTACAGCTGGCAGTGTTAGAAAAAGGGACGGACATCAAGGTTTTGAGAAGGAGAAGCTCAGCTGTGTCAGTGTGAATTATGTGAGGGCACTTCTGCGTCTTGACAGAATTGCTCTCTGTTTCTTATTTTTCTTTAAGCGAAATTAGATGTCTTTTTTTTCCTTTTTCTGGAAGTTATTTTGAATAAGCGCAAATTCTTCTCATCATGGAAGAAGTCCATTTGTCCCTTCCAACTCAGCATGTTCTACAATCCTATGAAGTAGTTAAATAAAGGATAGGGTGGTGGTTTGGGCAAGTTTAACAGAGGGTCCTGGGAGAGAACCAAGTATGTTGCTTGTGAAACATGTACTTGGAATTTCTTACAGTTTGGGCAGGAAAGTCTTTAAACACCTGTACAGGTGAGGGTTTCCAGTCCTTGTATGATCTCACCAGTGTTATTTATGCTTCTGCAAGTACTATTGACAAGTTCTTTGTGACATCTAAATTTAGATGTGACCAGGCAAATTTGTTCTGCCCTGGGAAAGGCAGAATCTCCTCTTCCCTTGGCTGTTTGGGGTCACCGGCAGCTCAGCACAAACCCATTTTTGGGTACCAGGATGAGGGATGTGCCTGCCCTCTGCTTAAACTCTTTCTCATGGAGTTAATCCTTCACAAAGGGGTGAGAGACAGGTGAGGGCAGCAGTGCCTTAAACTGCCTCAGCAAGGGTTTTGCAGAGCTCTGTTTATTAGGGCTTTTAATGGTAAGGAAATTCATTGTCATTAAAGAAAAGAGAGATCTATGTGCTACAAGTAATGAGTTATTATTGGGTCAAGAACAGATTAGTCTGGTTTTCATCTGTGCCCTCAATAGGCCAACGGAGCCTTCCTAAGAATTTGACTGTACTCGGGTG